CCTGGATGATGCACGAAACTTAGCCTCATATGCAGTAACCGACATCCTACCTTGCTCTAGGCTCAAGAACTCATCTCTTTTCCTATCCCTCAAGGTTCGGGGGATATACTTCTCCATAAACAAGCTAGAGAATGATGCCCAAGTCATAGGTGGTGCCTCTGTTGGTTGACACTCAACATGTGACCGCCACCACATTTTGGCGTTCCCTTGAAACTGATTAGTCACAAACTCAACACCAAACCGTTCTACTATACCCATCTTGTGTAGTAGCTCATGACAGTCAACCAGAAAATCATAGGCATCCTCAGATTCAACACCCTTGAAGATTGGAGGTTTCAATTTCAAGAACTTACTGAAAAGTTCATGCTGATCATTTGTCATTATAGGCCCTGTAGTCAGACGAGGAAACGTGCCTATTTCCAATGAGGCATCCATGCGGGGAGCCACAGTAGCTGCATGTTGTACCTTCGGAACCTGAGGTGCTGGTGCAGAAAACACTGGAGGTGTTTGACCTTGATCAGATAACCCACTAAGATAAACAAGAACCTGATTTATCATCTCTGGGGTAGGTTGGGGTGGTAGTTCTTCATTCTACACTTGCTCAGTTTCCCCTTCCTCACCATGTCTTACTACTTCCTCAGTCGGTGGAGGAGTCACCGCCCTAGTACTAGATGGGACGGACGTTTGTCCTCTTTCCCTAAAGGACGTCCTCCCACGACCTCTACCACGGCCTCTTGCCACTGCTCTTCCTCGAGCTACAGCCCCAGTGGCTGGCTCAGACGCTTCTTGTCTTGCCGGTGTTGGTGTTGGCGCAGTCGTTGCTCTAGTTCTAACCATCTGCGAAATAGAGTGAAGATGGTCAGATACCAATTTGTATCACCTAGATACCAATTGGATCCAAGTAATAGCACGAAAGAAAGAAAAAGAGAATGGAATTTTCCTAAAGTCTTATAGCCTCTCAAAGAAAAGTAAAGGCGTCCCCCTACCGTTCCTTAAGACTCTACTAGACTCGTTCTTGTGTGATGAGACCAACAAACCTAATGCTCTGATACCAAGTTTGTCACGACCCAAATCGGGCCGCGATTGGCACCCACATTTATCCTCTTATGTGAGCGGACCAACCAATCTAAACCCCAACATTTCAAACATAATAAATAGAAAAACAATGCGGAAGACTTAAAACTCATTAACAAAATCAATAATCAACTTCTAAAACTCAAACTTATCATTATTCTCAAAATCTGGAAGTCATCATCACAAGAACATCTATCCTCAAATTACTAAAGCTAAGAGTATCTAAGAAGCTAGAATAAGTAAAAAGCTAGTCAATGCCGAAAGTTCAAGGCATCAAGACATGAAGAGGAAGATCCAGTCCAAGCTAGAAGCATTAGCTCACCCTGAAATCCGGTGTAATGAAGACTGGCTAGAGTTGCGGTTGAGTTGAAGATGACGGCACGTTTGCTGCACTCCACAAATAACAAAGAAAAACAATTACAAGTAGGGGTCAGTACAACCACAAGTACTGAGTAGATATCATCGGCCAACTCAAAATAGAAAACAGTATATATCAGATAATATCATAAAATCAACTACAATACTCAACAGGCGGCATTTACAATTACCATAACCCTTGGTCACAACACCAAGCTCATCAATGAGGACTCACGCCTCCCCATCATACTCAATTTGGGAAATAGGTTCATTAAATTGAGTATATTGACATCTTTCAAGATTCATTATCTTTATTTCTCTTGTGTCGGTGCGTGACACTCCGCTCCCCTACTACTATGTGTCAGAACGTGGCACTCCGATCCCCTAATTCTACGTGTCGGTTCGTGACACCCGATCCCCTAATACTACGTGTCGGTTCGTGACACCCGCTCCACTAATCTCATTCTATTAATTCATCCAGCCTTCTTTTATACCAAGGCATCATCAATCTACCTCCACTAATTCTCATAAAATTAGAGACCTCACGAGGTCTTAACTGGAGAACAAGTTTGGGAGAGGGTTCAAAGCTTTCCAATTCCACTTTTCTTTCTACCCCTAAGAAAAAAGTTAACACTAGAACTAACTTATTTTCAAAGAACTAGTTTGTTCAAAAAATTTACCTGGAGTCAAAGGGTTGGGAACGTCGACCACTGTTGCTGCTGCACGACTCGGCGGAGATGGAGGCGGCGCGACCTCCACCTGCTGAGGCCCGACTGCAAATGGCGCGCAGAGATGGAGCTGGCGGCGAAGAGAGGAGATGGAGAATGGAGAAGACGACGGAGGAGATGGAGAATGGAGAAGACGACGGCGGAGATGAAGATGAAGAAGATGACGGCGGAGAGAGGAGATGGAGAATGCTGGTAGAGAGGAATGATGAGAGAGAGAGGGACGATGACAGAGAGAGAGGGACGATGAGAAAGAGAAAGGGAAGAAGGAGATAGCTATTTTTGGCTAGGGTTTTTTTTTTGTTTAAGAGATCTCATGAGATCTCTCATTTTTTAACTCTTTCATTAAATTAAATTATTATTTTTAATTTAGCAAGTACAGACCTCGTGAGGTCTCTAATTTTATGAGAATTAGATTAAAAATTTAAAAATTTGAAATAAGTCAGGTATAGGAAAAAATAAATTCATTAAATTGACCTCACGAGGTCTCTCCTATATTAAAAAAAAATTAAAAGATATTAATTCAAATAGCGACCTCATGAGGTCTCTTATTATAGACCTATTTTTGAGGTCTCCTTTTCTAGGTCTCTTTTTGGCCTTTTTTTAGTAGTGAAAGAAACGTTACTTATTTAAAAGTCTAGCAGTTTTTTGACACTATCAAATTTGAATTGAAATTTGCAATGTATGAATGTATCAACTTTCCAATCAAGTTGTAATGTGTCTGAATTAGCTAGTTTTATTAGTTATAAATATTGCTTCTTTTGCTATAAAGAGGAGTATTGGTAGAGATAATAATGAGAAAGTGATATTATATAGAATTGGGTAAAATAAAATAATGTGATTGCCCCTTTTAAGATAGACTTGAATTTTTTGACACTATTCAAATTCGCAGTCCAAAAAAGGTCGACAAAATTGCATCTGAACTATCTTATATTCTTTGTTATACTTTTGAATTAAAAAGACTCTTCATTATTATTTTAAAAGATCATAAATATCATCAAGATTTAATAAGAATGATTTAGCAAATAACACGACACTAATTTCGCCATCTATTGACTAGATACCCACTAAAATAAGGGTCTTTAATTTGACCAAATTTATGACCCAACCCTAACCCGTTCATACTAGACCCGACGCACAAAGATTAAGAGGCAAATATCATCTTTTTATCATATTTTCACCATTCGATTTAATGGATTCTCAATTTAGAATGACTCTATTTATTCTTCTCACAAACACATATTGCTTAGAGGTGTCAAGTGAACGGGTTGAGTTGGAATTGATAATGTTAAAATGGGCTGAAGTAGAAATTAGGTTGGGTCCTAACTTAGCCAAGTTTTCTTTCACTCAAATGGACTTTAAAATGGGCTAGGTCTTGACCCGCTCAATTTGACATGTTTAATTTCAATAAATTTAATATATAGTTATTTAAGTTTTAAATTTCAACTCAAGATTTTCTTTAAAAAAAAAGAAGAAGTTACAAATGATAGATAAATCCTAGGAGATATAAAATAGATAGCAATTTATATCTTCAATATTAGCACATACATTAAAAAATCTTAAAACGAGTTAAAATTTAAAATTAAATTAGGTTTAATTGAACATTCTCTTAAAATTAGTTAAGTCTTGAATGAGTTAAACTTATACCAAATTCAAATTATCTTGAATTTAATTTTTAAAATTCTAAACGTATTTGACAGATTACTCGTAATTGGTCTCATTTTTGACATCCCAACAAAACAAATACTACTACAGAGCGATATCAATGTCACGACCCAAAACGAGTCGTGAGTGACAACCAACACATCTAAAACCCCAACATATACCAATAGTTCAACTATAAATAATATCAATAATGCGGAAGCTCCAAAAGATACTAAGCAACCAATTTAAATAAGTTTCTAAGGTTTAATACTTATCATCCCAAAATCTGATAGTCATCACATCAAGGACATCTAATCTCCAATACTAAGCCTAAGAATATCGAATACACTAAAATAAAGAATAAAATGGTATGTGTCCGAAAGCATAGGACATCATGTTATGACCGAGAGAATCCAACACGAGCTAGAAATAATAGCTCACCCTGAACTCTGATGTGCTGGAGACTGGCTAGAGCTGAGGGCGAGTCGAAGTCGATGGTACACTTGCTGCACTCCACAAAATAACAAAGAAGAAAATACAAGTAGAGGTCAGTACAATGAACACGTACTGAGTAGGTATCATCGGCCAACTCAAAATAGAAATCAATATATATTGAATAATAATATAAAATCAACTACAATACTTAACAGGTGGCAAGCAACAAACACATGAACCATTGACAACAACACCATAACAGGTACACCATCAATCAGCAAATCAAACACACCTATGAGGACTCATGCCTCCACACCATACTCATTTGAAAGATAGGTTCTTTGAGGTTGAGTATATTAAGTCACTTCAAGATTCCCTTCCTTTAATGTTATTATGTCGGAACGTGACACTCCGATCCCATATACCGTGTCGAAACGTGACACTCCGATCCCTTAATATCGTGTCGGAACGTGACACTCCGATCCAATTATCTTATAATTTTATTTCATCAAGCCTTCTTTATTCAAGGCGTACTTTTAATAGAGAGGGTTCAAGATTAGAAATTCAACAGTCTCATAATTTTAGGCCAACCACAAACCACACAATCAAAACATACAGCCACACAATCAAGTAAATAGGAGACTTTACAATATCACTCAATACATATCAATCGCTATTTAGAGTTTATCTATCAAATAAAATTAAACCATAACCTACCTCCACCGAAGAACCGAAGTCAAGCAACTACTTCTCCAATGCCTTTCCTTTTCTTATTGCCTCCGAACCCTTCCAATCTATCAAGTATATAATATACATAAGGTGTAAGTTAACAAGACCATAAACACTCCGATTATTCTGTGTCTAGCCTATACTCATCAATTCACCTAATTCTATAATCAATTTCCTAAATTTTAAACTTAAGGTAAGTTCTATTTCCTCTCATTAGCATAACTTTAATGTAATTCATATAATATACTACACCTTATATTTAATTACCTATCTCAATATATCAAAATATAATCTATAATATAATAACAACATTAAAATTTTTAAAAGTTAAAGCCACTGGTTAAGGTACCAGTGGCAGCGAACACTTCACAATATACCCACCCCTTTATATTCCAATTCTTAAAAATGAAATTCAGTTATTTTCTTGCAGCTTCATCGATCCAGCTTCTAACACAAGGCGAACCTACCTTGGATTATTTTCCATTAACTTCACGTGAGAACAGGGAGGAAATATGTACCTACGAATTCGCATGAAAATTGTATCAATTTTTTCTTTGTTCTAAAATTTAAATTGGCAGAACATTTAAACCTTTACATTGTCATACCTTACACCTTCTTTTAATTAATCATCACAATATAACAATTTTTCCAATCCCAACATGCTGCTCCCTCTTCTCTATTTTATTATTTTATTTTACAAAACAAACATTTCCATCCAATTTTATAATATTAATCAAAAGAGACCAATAATTAATCTACAGAAATCTAACTCCTTAGATTCAAAACAGAACTCCCGTTCTTCCCTTTCTAATTAACAATATATTAGGCTGCTAGTAATATTACTCTCTATTAGAAATCACCATTACATGTAACAAAAGAATAAAAATTTCAAGAACCTTAATTCATAACACACTAAAGTCAATTTTCTTTTATGTAACATGTAACTGCTGCTAAAATGTTGCAGGCAGCAACATCATACAGCCGCCACGTAGTCACAATTTGCCCATATCCCCCTTTTCCCATTTAATTAGTATAATATTCTATCATGGCTAAAATATCAACATATATCCCTATCATCAATACATATGTATAGCGCAATATTAAGCTGGTCGAGTTTTACCTGAAGGCCCACTTTACGATCTTCTTCGCAATCCTTCTGCCCCTCTCTGATTTTCTTACTTTCCTCCAGAGATAAATTATACCTAATTTCTATATAGGACTAATTATATAAATAATGAAAAGTGTCCATCACTAATTGTTAAGTTATTTTCTTTAACTATCAATTAAATAAATTATTAAAATTATCCCACTAATTTCATAATTATAATTATGAATAGTCCAAAATACCAATTTAAAATTTAGCGAAAAGTATTTATCAAAAATAATTCTACTACTCAAATCAAATCGACTAAATGAGTTGTTACAATCAATAAGTTTTATTATGTCTTTTTCAAAGGAAACAAACTCCTAAATCAAGTGCAAAAGCCAAGTTGGTGGGGTCTACTGAATTGAATGCTGAAATCAGATGAAAAGATGATGTTTGCCCCTTAATTTTAAGAGCAACTTTCACATATATAGCAAATAAAAAATTTATATTTGTATGCTATAGTTTTTTGCATAATTGCGCTCTATAGCAAACATAGAAATTGTATAATTCGCTATACATATACAGTTGAAGCAAATTATATAAAACAAAGTGTATAAAACATGAAAGAGAAAGACACTTGGGTAGAAAACTGTATAAAATGAAGTGTATAAAACAAATTGTATTATTATATGTGTATAGAATGATTATATACAATTTGAATTTATATAAAATGAGAAAGCGAGAAAGACAAAAGAGACTTGACAAGGAATATACAATTAATCGAACTGTATAAAACGAGAAAGAGAGAAATTAGATACAATTTGAAAATTGTATAAAACGAGAAAGAGATAAAGACAAAAGAAACTAGGCAGGGAAGTATTTTTATTGTACTATTATAAGTGTCTAGGACGAGAATATATGTACTAGCATGTGTATGTACAATTTTCTCACGCTTTATACAAAGAGAAACACAATGTAAACATTTCGCTTCTGTTTGTATAAGTGAGAAAGACGATGGTGGTGAGTGAGATTTAGGAGAGTGGCGAGTGAGATCTGAAAGAGGGGAGAGAGGGAACAAAAATATGTGTATTTATACAATTTTCTCTGCTTTATACAATTAGAAACAATTTTTATACACTTGTGTTTGTATAAAAAGTGAGGAAGCGAGCGAGAGATTTGAAGGAGAGTGGCGAGCGAGATATTTGGGAGAGAGGCGTCTGTCAATATTTTGCAATCGTTTGCTATGGAGCACAATTAAATTAAACACTAGCTACTCCATTTATTTTAGATTATTAATTTGCTATTATATATAATTTTCCCAAATTTTATTGGGTCTGGTCTAATAAGAATAGGTTAGAGTTTGAATTATAAATTGGGTCAAATTAATGATTTATATTTTAGTGGATATCCTAATTGGCAAGTTTAGGTGACGAAAAGTGTTACGTGATTTGTCATATCACTGTTGTTAATTCTCGAAAGTATTTGTAGTCTTTTAGTATAACAATTGTGGTATTTCTTATTTTTTAATGTATTAGAGGATATAAATGGCCTATTTTGCACAGGAGTGGTTTAAGTGTATTAGTGGCCTAAAATCAAAATCAAATGGGGCCTTAAACTTAAATAGTTAATAACTTTTATATAATTTATTTCTTCAAGTTTTCATCTCATAGTATAACGATTCTTAATTTAAATTATTTTTCATAAGATATTGTGCTCAAAATATGTCAAATTTCTTCTAATAAAAAATCATTTTTCATGAAATATTTACTTTTTCTACAAATAATATTCAATATTTATTTAAAAAAAATAACTTATAGCCTATTATTAATTTATTATAAAAAGTAAGGCCCCTTAAATTTGGGGACCTAAGCACATGTCTTTTTTTTTTAACACAGCCACCTGCTTACAAATAATTGGGAGCAATTATTTTTGATTGGTTACAATTATGACTTCTTTGCTATAAATAGGGGTGTTGGTTGAGTAATATTGTATAATAAGTTGTGTGAAATAATAAAGGTGTGTTACTCTCTTGTTCTTTTGAAAAACAAGTCAATTACATATAATTTGGTTGGAGGAGAAATAATGGAGCTGTACAAGACCCTTAGGACTACTATCAAATAATGATGCTGAATTTATGAAGATTAAGCTCGAGTATGAGAAACAGAATGAGCATGTTACATGTTGAAGGCCTTTCTTAATGCACTCACCAAAGCCCATTATTCTCATCTTTTAAATAAAGAAAATTCGTAGCCCTCATACTATTTCTATATATATATATATATATATAAATACAAACTTCATATATTGATGGATTTAAAAATAATTTATTGGGTAAATTATTTTTATCTTATTTAATATGCGGTCATTGTAATAATTAAGAAATTAAATATTATCTAAGTTGATTGTTGCATCCTTTATATTCCGATGATTATCAAGAATCATATTAGTTTTCATATATTTATCTTTTTATCTCCTTTTCTATGGTAATTATTTTCTCGTTACTGAATATTCTAAAGTCTTACAAATGATCAAACCATTTTTATTATGCAAAATTTATTATTGTGTGATTAATTAGTAGTAGGATTTTCAATTAACAAAATTAAAATATAATGAGTAAATACACGTAGAAGTCAAATGAAGCTCAACATCTACTCTATATATAAAAATAATTTTATCCACACATAAATAATATAATTTTATACCGAATAAAAATTTAAATGAACTCCCTCGAATTTACATGGCGCCATTTGATAATACAAAAAATTTAAAAAATAAGAGAAGATTTTATTACCGATCAAGTAGTCCTTATTAAAGTTACTTTTGTGTTTACTTTTTATTGACTTCTTCACAATACCTACTATAAAAATAAAATTGGATTGATATCATTAAATAGATGTCAAACACTCCTTCTATTTTATATTAATTGAATTTATGAGACAATGCTTATCCATTAAGAAAAATATTCAAAGACATTTTGATAACTAAAGCCCAAGAAACACAATCCCTCCTCGACATTTTGCTCAAACTCCCACATTTCCCTTACATATCAATCACTGTACCATGTAATTGCTTGCCCAATTCAACCCCACCATAACCACAACAAATCTTCAAGACCACCGGAAACAAGAAAAATTCCAACTCCACAAACCGCACCTGCCTAAAACTTCTTCAAAAAGCTCATTACTCAAATAAACATTAATAATAGCGTTCCACGAATACAAATTTCTGTCACGCATTTTCTCAAACAGTTGAACTGCATCATCAAAACAATCACATTTCCTGTACATCTCAAGCAACTTAGTCTCAACAAACTCGTAGTGCTTCTGCGTGGACTTGTTTACCTAGGTTGGGGCATTTGCAGGAATCAAGAACTGAAGCATAGGTGCTTCAACTTATAAAGTCATCCAATTGAGAGAAATATAGGTGGGTTAAATGATAAATGGGTCGGGTTTAATTTGGTTAATCTAATTAAATAGGGTTATTTTTGTTTGATTTAGGATTTTCCATTCAATTGAGGTCTATGTGAAAAGTTTGTAGACGACAAGGATAAAAATAATTTCATTTTAACAGCAATGGTATATTTAACTAATAAAATAAAGTCGAGAGATATTTTTAACTCTTTTCCCTATCTTAAATTTTGAATAATTCAGCTGAGAAACACAAAAAAAATTCAAATCTTGATGCTTACAAGTGGCTCAGATATATGATAAGTAGCTCAAATACATTAAATAATGGCTCAGATACATTAGTATGTAGCCCCAATACATTAAAAATTAACCCAAATACATAATATGTAGCTCGTATACATTAAATACTGGCTCGACAACATTCAATATTTTTTTAAAAGCCCATGATATGTTACGAACAAACCTTAATATTTCACAAACTTTATTTTGAGGCTTCACATCCAATGTTTATTAAATTTTGAGAGAAGGTTACAAACCAATTTTTCATTAATAAGATATGAAGGGAACAAATTAGCAAGTTGAAGAAGAAAGCAAAAACAACACTAATATACATTTCTTTTCTCTAGTAGCTTGTCACGTTGTTATGCATTTCCCCATTCTCTACAGTTCTACTTAACCCTTTGATATCATTGATGAGACAGTCGAGGTTACTATACGATAAACCTCCTTCTTCAACACTTAATTTTGCAAGTTCTGATAATTTCTCAACTGATTTCGTGTACTCATCCTTTTTTGTTTCCATAAGATCTTTTACCAGTTTCTCTACGACGAATCTATCACAAATATCTTTCATGTCTAACCCTATCTTCCAAAATTCATTTACTAGTCTACTTGTAACTCTTTGGTCCACATATTGAGGCCAACATATCATGGGCTTTCCCTCGATGATACTTTCCAGTGTCGAGTTCCATCCACTATGGGTTAAAAACCCACCAACCGATGGATGGGCTAGTACCATCTCCTGTGGAGCCCAACTCACAATGTAACCAATTCCTTTGCAACCCTCAACAAGTTCCTTCATAAATTGATCATGTGATGCATCTCCCTTCAACATGTTAGGCCTCATTACCCACAAAAATTTAACTTTACTATTCATTAGTCCATGCCAAAATTCCATGATCTCATCTCTTGAAACAACAACAAGGCTTCCAAAACTTACATAGATTACAGATCCCTTGGATTGCGCATCGAGCCATTTAATGGAAGTATGGTCTTCTTCCCACATGCTATTTGAGGATGACAATAGTGGAGTAGCTTTAGCAGCAAGTCTAGTCTTCAAGTTCAATGGCAATGGTCCAATTGCATATGTTTTAGGAAAGTAAGAACGAATATTATAAAGAAAAGGCCCATCTAACTCTTCAAACGAATTTAATATGAGTCCATGGGCTTTTGGGATACGCTCAATTTCCTTAAAAACAGCTTGAGAATTTTGATCGATTTTATAATCTAAAAGACAAAAGTGTGGAAGATCTCGTCGTCTAAGAAAACCTTCCATGGCTGGTACATGTGTTACCAATGCATCGATGTCATTTCCTACAACGATAAATATGAAGTTAAATTTATAGTTGTGGTGTTCCAAATTTCTATTCCACTCTATTTTTTCAAAGTTTGATAAGGTTGTGCACAATTTTAAAGAAAAAATTAATTAAAAAATATATTTTAATTAATTTTTAAATTTTAATCTACTAACATCCTCTTAATTCCAGA